TGAGCTAGGCCTAGAAGCGTAACAATGCCGCACTCAATCTCTGCTAAATAGTGACATCCATCACTGACTTGCTCAAAAACTGTTCAGATACTTGGTGGACTGGCTCTCTACGTCCAAGATGACAAGTCGAAGAGTACAGCTGAAAGAAAAAATTGCAAGCTATGCATTTCGATATAATTTAGCGGATGGAGGTTTATTACAAGGGAAAATCAAGAAGTCACGACTACGGCAAACGCCGCACAAAACGTACTCTTTCCTCCTGCTGCTCCTCTTGCACCATCTTCCCATGATTTACAAAGTCCGTCCAGACATTCTGAAAGAGCCAGCGATTTGAACATCCGCTCTAATCAAAAGTATATTTACAAAAAGGAGTTATGGTAGTCACACATTAAGGCATATTAAGTACAATAACGAAGGTAAAATAGATGAAAGATTTTGAGGAAACCTTATGGTTCTAATGTAGGTATGATAGGCAGGCAAAAAAATCTACAACGATACAATAAAAACACCCACTGTGTCATCCGCCAAGATCAGTTGCAGCAGATAATCAAGATCAAACACAGAAAAGTCAAATCCCATGCGCGTGACATCATGGGAACAAAACAGCCATCCATTCACAGCTTTTGCGAGCCTGTAAATTGTCATTTTCTGAAAAAAAAAATGGCATGAAAAACGCAATACCCTTTAGGATCTTCAGCTTCACTGAGTGTCTTTCTACAGGCTGCTAGGATTGATTCCGCTTGTGGTGTGTCCAAGAGTCGCCTAGCAAAATTGTACTTCCTCCTAAAACAAAGCAGACACATTTGGAGAAGAAAATTGAAGAGAGAGAGAAAACGTACCCCAACACAGTTTTTAACCGGTACGCCTCAGTCGCAAGACGCTGCAGAGCTAGAGGAAATACGGTGCTTTTGGGGCACATAGTGACAAACTCCGCCCATCGATATACAGCAAGCCTAGTAAGCGGTAATGCCATGGACGATTTCGCTGCGGCTTTCTGAAAAATGTCTCAAAGCCTAGGAGACTTTATTCAACTACTCACTTTGACGGCGTGCTCCACTGTAGTTTTGTCCTTCTTAATTAACGTTTCATAGAGAAACTGATAGAAAGTTGAATAGCTTTTGCTTTCCACCAGCAAAAGCAGATATGTAGCCCATGGAGAAACTCCATATAAAGTGGTGCCAATCAATGGAGGAGGTGCTTGTTCAGATGTAAACATAGAAAAGATCCCCTTCGATCCTTCACGCCACGTTACCAACATTTGCTAAAAATGCGATGTAAGCCATAGAGATGCACCCAAAAAACCAAGAAAACCGCAACAAGCAACTTCATTGCTATGTAATCTGTTTATCGATGGAAAATGGAAAAAAAATGTTGTGGTACCTGGTAAGTATTGTAGATCATATCTGGAATTCCAAGTAAGTTCTTAGCATCATTCATGAAAGCTATGTGCGATATGGATCCAAGCACTTGCAACGTTGCCTAAAAGAGATGAATGATTGCATAGATAGGGACAATAAGCTGGACGCACATTATCGTTATTCCAAACAGTGGGTCGACGAACGCAAAGGAGATCCACCCA